TGTCCTGGACTTTCTATACCCTAGAAGGCTGTGGTTACTGCAAGATCTGTGACAATCCTACCTGTAAAAGAGGTGGTTTGTTACAAGTGGGAAACAAGAACAAGCGAAGTCTGGATATCAAAGCCAAAGCCAAGAACCAGAAATAATGCAGCAACAACGAAACAGGTCACTTAGCAGGATCAGGAGCCAATGCCACGGACTAGGTCGCAATAAATGAGCCATGATTAATTGAAGGTTTGCTCTTAAATATGTAACTGATGGATACTAACCAGATTAACTCTTACTATTGAAACAGTCTGAACAAATCTGCAATATTGGCATTTGTATGGATAAATGGTCCTCAATTACAGACCGAATTTAAGCTACAGAATAAATGGAGTAGTAGAACATCTGGGAAGACTTTACACTATTCTGTTCAACCCTGAGTGATGTTCACTGGAGAGGTTTTATGTCAAAATCTTATTTAGTTTTAATGAAAGGGGAATCAATAGAATCAGCATCTTTGGGTGTATGGGATCAAGGCAGCTACATATGGAATACATGGAAACTGTATTATGGAAATGTATGTTGATCATCCTTTGTTGTGCTTTCATTTCCACTATTTCAGTCTCATTTAATCAGTAGATATGTATGCCATATGTAATGTTTACAGGTGATATTGTGAAATGTGTAACTAGTTAATGAAAGAGTAATGCATACGTTTGTCAACAGAACTCTACCAAATAATGAATCTGTGAAAACAATGAAAAAAGTAGCGTGCTTATATTTCTTATATCATTAATTGGAACGCTTTCTCTGTCAGCTGAGGTGTCATGACTGATCAAGTGATGAGACACTAATTGCAACGTTTAAAAATGTAATCAAGGTTACAGTCTCACCTCACCTAATGTATCCTTATTCCTTCCTATTCATTATCATGTGAGATGTCTATCTCAGTGACTGTGGTTAACAAAACACTTCAAATAGGCTCAACTCATGATACCTTTGAAATATAACACTTATTCAAAAATGATTCCAGCAGGGCTTAAAACAGGGATAGCAAGAGTAAAAGAGTAAGAAACTGTGTGTGTTTCATAAAAGAAAGTGTATCCCGGTATGAAATGTATAGTTTTACCTTTAGCTGCAATTATCCTTTAATTCTCTCTGGCAATCACCTGGAAAATTCCTCTTCTACATCTTGTCTCAACTGCCCATTTTAACATATTGATTGTATGCTCACAGGCTATGTAGCTCAGTACTTTGAATAAAACAGCTACTTGCTGTTAATGCTAGCTAAGATCTTTCCAAGTTTTTTTTTTCAATTGTTGATGGTTCCTTCTCTTTACAATACCAGTACGTTTAGTACAATTATTTAATTTTGCTTATAAACATAGGCATGGATCAGTTATGTGTCACACATGTTAAAACTCCATACAGCAAATTGTTAATTGTCCAATTGTTATAGATTTACTATCCTTGTAATTTCCACTATTTCTTTCAAGTATCCTTTTCCATTTGATTGATAGCCACCTCTGTAATCACTGATCTTGATCTATTGCTGCACGAGATTTCATGACCTTGTCTTTGTGTTTCCCTATAGGCACTAGGTCAAAAAAGCTTCATGCTGCCATTAAAAATCTGATACATTTGTACACATTCCTAACCTCATTGGGTAGTCTGCTGATTGTTTGGGTGTGCATTTCACTATTGCAAGGTTCCAACAAACAAGTCAGCATGACAGAGGCATCTACCAAATGTGAAAACTGAGGAAAATTAAGAAAAAAGAAATCCACCAAAGACACAGGGGATTGGGAATTTTTAGGTTTGGGACAAAGAAAAGTGATAAGACAGTATTAGTAAAATAGAAAAATTGTACAAAGCATGAAGAAATGCACACAACTTAGAATCAATACTAAAAGTAAATTAAAATGAAATTGAGATAAGATCAAGCCATACAAAAAGGTCACTCAAGGGCCATAAAGAATACTTCTAGAAGCATGAAATGTGAAAAATCTAATGGTGAGATCCATACAGAAAGCTGTAATCCCTTCTTACTGAATTGAAACTTATGATAGCTTTAGTGTACTAATAATCTTAATTTTAATAATGACAGAAGGCGAGTATTTTGCATATTTTTCTCTCTTTACTAACTCCATACAGCAGTAAAGAAACACATAGAAAAAAGATCACAGGAGAGCAGGATGTACATAAGGCAATGTGACCTCATCATTTCCTCTTTCAGAAAGCAACAACAAGCAGAAGTAAATATATAGCAAACAATAAAACTAATAATAACTCCAAGTTCCCATGTGCGAAGGAGCAAACTTCCAAAGAATTCTATACGAACAACGAAAAAGAGTTCAGGGTTGAGACAAATCCGAAGGATAAAATCTCCAATAGTTTCACGTGAACTGCCAATTATCTTCAGAGACGAATCATACTGAAAAGAGAATGTGTGACAGGTTTAGACATAGTCACGAACATGTAACTCCAATTAACGTACCACCTAACATCCCATTGGAGAATATAGTAACTATAATCTGATAACTGAGTAATTGTAATGAGAACTCTAATGAGGATTCCATATTAATGGAAGTACGAACATATCATATAAGCATCAATGTGAGAGGCAAACCTACCTTAGCCCCTGATATCTGCAAAGCAAATGAATAGAAAGGGTGGGCAGCGAAGCGGGGGGGGGGAAATACTCGCCTCCTGTCATTATTAAAATTAAGATTATTAGTACACTAAAGCTAGCATAATCTTCAATTTTACCACATGACAGGAGGCTTCGTATTTGTCATTTTTAATGCTGAGAAAAGAGTATAGAACTAAAAAAGAGTCCTACGGTATGCCGAGAGACCCAGTATTCGACGTTGTGGGGAGGTCTTCCCTGTTGAGCGCCCACATATACACCATCTAACGGGAAATTATACAAGACCAAGTCTGACCGTTTGTCAGCAGGATGTTTAGCCCTGTAGAGTGAAAGGAGAACGACCTCCACAACTCATAAGCTGGAGAGGTATGACATTGGGTAGTTGGTATCCTAGAGGATCATCCTTGGGCTTACTCAGGTAGTGATAGGGGCTGCAGTTCCGTCTCCATCCTCACATAAGGGATCAAGAAGCAGGACCGAACCAGACAGGCTGGGAATGTCCACATGTAGGAGTAGGGTCGTCGCATCCCTGGGTTCCCAGATTCCCAGGAGATCCCCGGCAGCCTGCGATCGTCCACTGACCTGCCAAGAAACCCCCAAAGCGGGTCTAGGTCCCCAGTTAGTCGACCCTCTTGGGATAGAAGATGTGAGTACCCTACGGCTCCATGAGGAATTGTTGGTCATGAATGTAGCAGGAGAAGATCCTCACCTGCTCGAGAATTTCTGTAGACCTTGTAAGCATCAGGAGCACCGGACTTCCTTGGGGAAGTCCGGTCAGATGGAGCGTGATCACCATCGTGCCTCGACTTATACTGTGAGTGGTAATATCCACATCAGTCGGCCTCTATGAGACGTGTCTCCCCCAGGAGATGGGTTGATCTTCTGTGAAGAAGACGGGGATCGAAGGAGATGTTGTCTGATAAACGTGAGTTGGTCCATCCAGGTGGATGTGAAACCTGACCGCCTAATCTGTGGTTACCTGCAGTAGGGTGCAGCCGATCTAGTACTTCTTTATCAATCCATATATTGTGAAGTATAGGGCCAAGAAGTCTAGGTATACAACGTACAGGGTCGCGGTGGTGCCGTGGAGAGTCGTGCGAATATTCCCAAGTTGTGGGATAGTCTACGAATCCTCTGAGCGAATAGTCTTCTACAAGTCTGTAGGTTCCAGCCGGGTCTCAGATGAACGTGGGTGTTGACAAGTTTTCAGTTCCCTGCAGTGATCTGAATGAGGTTCTCTCGGAAGAGAGTGTCTCGTCTTGCCTGCCTATATACATTACTTCTTTCAGCAGTTTATCAGGGCCCACCAGGCTCCGAGCTACTGGATCGGGAAGGAGAGTATATCTCCTGAAAACTGGGTAAGGTGGTCAAGCCGGAAGGAAGAAGGTCCTGACGTGTCTTTAGGTCCTGAACACAAGTCGGTTGACTATGTGAAAGTGGTCTTCCCCAGGATTGAATGCCTTTCACCTAGATGTGGTGAAATCCCCTGTGGATGTATTAGGAGGTATATTGATGGTATCTATGCATACTGTGTTCTCTGTCCGCTTATCTGGAGCTTCATTGGTTTACCCCTCGCTCTATATGGGTAATAGAGCTAGCGGTAGCGGATCTCGGGTCAGATGTCCCGAAGTGGTCGACAACCGGCTCTGTTGCCAACCAGTTCCAAAGAATCTCTTGTAAAGGTAATCTCATAACACCTCCCTCCTAGGGGTTTGGGCCCTTATGAAAGCCATGGGACCTTGCTTGTCTAATAAGTTCCCTTCGCAGATCAGTCTACTATGACAGTAGGCAGTGTTCACGGAAAACCTTGTGGGTCTTTTCCGAATTGTGGCCAAATAAAACAGACTGGGGCTCACCATAGAGCATTGCCTCCACTCAACAGCACCATGTAGCGCATGTATAGTGGGGGCATAACCCGGGTGCACAGGGTATGAACCCTTAAGTGCTGGCCATTGCTTTGATAGAGTGTCAATCACCTCTTCCATTATTAAATTCACCTCAAGGGGAATATATATCGTTATGTAGGTGGCTCGGAACTCCTGTTCAGCGGTTGTAACCGCATACTTCTTTTCGGCATTTTAGTGCAGCGCACGCCTAGCCGGAGTGCATAGGGTGTGGGCCTTTAACTACAGGTCGCAGAATAGGTACAGGGCATAAACCCATACCGTATCATGATTCATTATCAATGGAGGTATTCCTTCAGCTGTAGGTAGAGGCTGTTGCCGTAAGAGTTCCTTTGGTCAGGTAGTGTGACTCCCCCATCATAGGGGTCTCACCCCGAGAGCACCAGGTCTGAACCTGTAAGTGCCAGTCGCAGATCTGAAGTTTGGGTTTTCAATCCTCGAGCTCGCTGTTGATAGGGGTAGGAGTAGAAGCAGCAGTGCTGTCGAGGGCTCACCCCGGTTGCACAGGTTATGAACCCATCAGTGCTGGCCATAAGCCTGATAGAGAGTGTCCTACAGCTCTTCCAATAATTAATGCACCACCATGGGGATATTCTGTGCTGAAGCTTGTGACTCTGTCCCCTTTTTAGCCGTATAGATTGGCTTATACCTAGTCTGAGATCACCTCAGGTGCGCGGGGTATGTACCCGTCAAGCGTGGGTCGCGGCCAAATAAAACAGACTGGATGAGAGCACAATCCGTTTCATTGTGTGCAATGCACCATGCAGCCCCCAGCAGGGTGTATTAGTGTGCAATTTATTGTGTGCAATTTATTGTCTCCAAGTATCAAAACAACGCCAGCAGGGTGTGTGATATGCAGTAGTGTGCACTTATTGTGAGCAATTTATTGTCTCAAAGAACCAAAACAATCCCTGCAGGGTGTGTGATTTGGGGTACCCCAGCAGGGTATCTGTTGTAGTGTAAATAATGCCAGTAGACCCCAGCAGGGTCTGTATAAATTACAGTAAGGTGTAATAACCCCAGCAGGGTATTCTGTATCTGTCACTTAGTGTTGTCAAATTATCCCAGCAGGGCAAACCACAATATAGGGATTGGTATAACTGGGCCTCACCCAGGATCACAGAGGTGGCCACAGGGCGACTTCCAAAAAGCAGCATTGTAATATGGGCAGCACCCCAGGCAGGCCAGGGTAATAAGCCCTTTAGTGCCTAATATGGCAGTAATGAGACAAAAGTGACTGACCTCTGAGGGATAATAGGATATAGCACTAGCTCTAAGCTCCATCGTCTGTTGTGTTCTGACAGGTAGTCTTAGTGATAGGGGTCATCCCTTTGAGCATCCATTACCAGACATAGAGTCTTGCTGTAGATTCCTGAACTCTGATATCCCTTCAAATCTCCCATCACTGATATGTACTTATACAGTACCATCTTGATAGTCTGTGCCCAAGGGTGCTATCCCTTTAAGGAATTCAAGGGTGATATCAAATCTGAAAATAATAGGCCAGTTAGAATACTTACCTTTGCCTGGATTCAAACTTGGGACCCTAGGGTCCAACATCAAGTATTCTAACTGGCCTATAATCGTGAGCCACGAGATCAGTAAGGCTAGCTGACAACCGAAATCGTGGTGGGCGCGAGTAGCAAAACGGCCGCCCATAATCTTGCGAGACGTGAGATTAAAGATGGCCGCCGAGGGTAAAGGAGAGTGGAACGTGGTCCCTGGAGTCTCGGTAGACGTGGGATCAAAGATGGCCGCCGCGTCATGCTCGGGCTACCTCGTGGTCGCCCCACAGACTGCCCTGCACCAAGGTAGTGGTTGTTGGAAAGCATCCAGCACATTACTGGGTGTACGGTATGGGGCAGCCTGAGAGAGCGAGGGCAGTGAGTCAGGCCTTCCCCCTGAGGGTTGTAGGAGGAAGGGGTCGAATGGATAGGCCGGAAGAAGGGGTTAATGTCCTGGAGCCGGCGGGAGCCGACGGGAACTGTGGGAGGGAAGGGGTTAAGCCCCAGCCAGACCCAGAATCCCCATGAGACCCTGGGGAGAAGGAGGAAAAAAAAGGAAAGAGGGTCCCCAGATGCCCCAGGTATAGAAGGCCAGGAAAATCGCCAGAAAAGTCATGATACATATGGTATAAAGTACATCTACCATAACTATACATAAAACCTATTAAGTCAATAATAAAATTTACACCAAACACCTATTAAATCCATGTCATAAAATACATATGACATCTATTAAATACATATAATACTTATCAAAACAAAGGATGAAATGCCTATAAAACTCATAAATTACAAGTGATATTAAGCACAACTAAAGGTTATGAAATAAGGATTATGTTAAATCTACATAATATCTATGACATAGAAAAATAACATAGAAAAAACACAGCTGCACATAGTACAGAAGCACAGCAAAACATACAGTAAAGTATATAAAAATATAATACAGAAACAACCTCAAAGAGGCAATAGAAACATAAAGTAATGGAGAAGAGTAATACTCTTACCTGTCTGATTGATGGAGCAGTAAATAAAGAGGAAATGATGAGGTCACATTGCCTTATGTACATCCTGCTCTCCTGTGATTGGTTCTATTTTGTATGTGTTTCTTTACTGCTGTATGGAGTTAGTAAAGAGAGAGATACAAAATACGAAGCCTCCTGTCATGTGGTAAAATCCAGTTCAGAATACTAACAGTTCCAAAAAGGACTTTACAATAAAGTCATAACAATATGTATTTCAAGGTCATGAGGCTTGTCGATATGTGAAACCAGGGAGAGTTAAAGATTGAAAGATTGAGGTTCTTCCAACCAGCTGAGAAGAATTGCACAGAATTGCAAAGGAAAACATGGAAATATTCTAGAGAGAAAATGCAGTGAGGTTAACATATGGCCTCAATAATGAACAGCTCCCATATCACTTATGAGGCATTCATCCCAATATTTCACATGTACAAAGACGGACACTTTAATTTCAGGGGTGTGATTGGAAGTGTGGTCAGAGAGCAGAGCATTCAGTGAAATTTAATGACTTTTTTAATAATAATTATAATTTATGCAACTAAATGTGTTTAACCCCTTAAAGGACCAAACTTCTGGAATAAAAGGGAATCATGACATGTCACACATGTCATGTGTCTTTAAGGGGTAAAACAAGAAAAATGCACATACTTTATACAAATGGATTTCTAAACACATTTATTGTTGTTTAAAGATGCATTGCTGTGAAACCTTGTTTCACACATAGACACACCAGCAATATGGAAATCCTGCAAAAGAGGGACATTAGAAAAGTTAAGAGGAACAGATGGATTTAGGCCCAAAATAGGGACAACCGGTATGAAACTGTATTAAATGAATTCCTCTTACAATAACGTATTAAACAAAACCAAAAATATGGTAAATTATTTATGCATCACAACGGGACACTATAGTCACCAAAACACCTTTAGCTTAATGAAGCAGTATTTGGGTACAACGCATGCCTCTGAAATCTCACTGCCATTTAGGAGTTAAATCACTATTGTTTTTGTCTATGCAACAATGGCCACACCTCCCTGTGACTGACAGCCAGTTTGAAAAAACAAATGGTTTAATTTTCAATCACATGTTAGATGCTTTATACATTTTTATCTCCCGTAGGAGTATCCTGCAAGGTTTAGCAAGCTATTAACATTGCAGGAGATAAGACATTTTAAATTAAATAGACCATGCAAAAAAAGGAGAGTAAATGGGGGGGAGGGGGAGGGGGGCTGACTGCTATGGAGGGAAGATGTGCCTCACTAGAGCTCCCAATGAAAATCAGGCTAAAAAGGCACTCTTTAACTCACCACATGAGACCCCAAACGACTTAACACCTCCAAGTCCCCACGGTGAACCGGTAAAGTGGCCCGTGAGCGAACGATGGACAGCAGAATATACCCGCGAGGGCATGCGGCCTGGAATGTGCGGGAGAGGCGGTCGACCTCCCAACCTGGAGCCATCCGGAGACTAAAAGCTATGAACGGGCATCCCGCAACCCCCCCCCTTGGACCGGTGGGGGTGATCCCAGTACACCCCAGGGGGTACCCCCCTACAAAGTGCTTATGTCAGAGAGAACGGTCAGAGAGATGAAAGGCCCACCCAATATGGCGGAGACCAGGAGTTTCCCAGGCAATCATGGAGCCAGGCTCGTCTATGGGTCCAACCTGGACCGCATCTTCATGGACTTCTGGCTGAAACTCGAACAAGTACTGCAACTAAACGACACTCGGCCACCCAGCTCAAACCATCCACCTCGACAGTCACTCCCTGATCCTCAACGGCATGGAGCTGTGCCGGCGACACACGCAACAACAAAAAAATGGCGGTGGAAAGGAAAGCGTGTACCTCACCCACACAAAACAACCCCACGATGGCCACTGCGTAAATCAAGCAAGGGCCTGCTCCGGGCACCCGCAGCCACAGGGACGACCCCACAAGGGCACCAAAATACCAACCACCCCCACCCACTCCTGATCACTTACCGCACCCAAGGGGAGATCCACAGGCACCCACAGCAGGGGATTACTCTGCCCCAACGAGTCATCGGGTTAATCAGCTAGGAAGCACTGCAAGCCGAGTTCCGGGACCGGGAGACCGAATAGGTCACATGGTGCTGCACTGAGGGAAATTATCTTACTAAAGCCGACCCGGCCAAAGAGGGACTCATTCCTGGGGGACCACAGGGGACTTTATTGTATTACCACTAGACACACGCAAGTTTGGCTGTTTACTTAATTCTCACTTTTTGTATTAATCGTTTCACCAAGCAAGCAACGTGGCATAGTACTGCACAAACCAACAGCTAGACTACAGACAAGGTAAAGGCTACACATAAGCAGAGAGTAGAAAATAATGATGGTAAACAAGTCTGTTAATGAGACACTGATATACAGAGAGCTCAGGGTCCTACAAAAGGTCACACTGCAGGCATTACTACACGATTAAAACACCCTGACAAGCTACTCAAGACGACTCTATTACTCACTCACAGACCCATGTACTCTAACACTGATCAACAAGATACATTTAAACCTGTTATATGCTTAAGCTTATTTAACCCTCACAATGATCTTGAATTGTATGAACCTACCCAAACCTTACCATATTGCTCCATCAGTCTGTCTCACCTATGCTGGACTTATTATTAAAAAAAAAGAAAGTGTGCAAGATCTAACATATACCCTACTGTTTCAAATGTTACTGAAAAGCATTAGGAATGCCGTAGGGGCACCACAAGCTCGCTTGTTATTTTTTCATGCACTACCAAAATAAAAAATTCTAAAAAAAAAAAAAAGAAGTGTAAACATTCAATCTCACTTTACAGGAGTACTGTGCACATTACAAGCAGGGATGTATAACTAGGGCTGCATAAAGATATTTAACTTTGAAATGACATGGCATGATCTATACATCAAAACTGTTTAAAGGATCAATATAGGGTCAGGAACACAAACATGTATTCCTGACCCTATAGTTTTTAACCCACCGTTTAGGTGGCTTGCTGAAGGGAGCATTACATTAAGCTGTAGTTGTTCTCGTGACTATAGTGTCCCTTTAACAAAGCTGAAATTACTGTATTACTGGCCCTATAAATTATACATTAGAAATGATAAAAAAAATACAATTTAAATAAAAATACATGAACAAACATGCATGTTAAATATAGTAAAATGTAGTCATGTAATTAAAATACTGTACTTAGTATAAATGTAATGACGATTAAGCACATTAAAGAATATAGAACTGGTTCTCATTTACAAATATGGACTCTAGTTCACTGATGTATATCCTGCTGAGCAAAGCAAAACTTTAAACTTATTGTAGAATATATTAAGTATCAATCTTAGGCTGGCAGGTTCAGTTTTACTTTTTAACCTGCATATAGTTACATAAAGGTTTAAAATGATGAAAGCAGTCTTTGAAATACATGTCTCAATATTTTTTAAATTCTGCACAACTTTAAAGGTTATGCATCTTCATTAATATGTCTGACTGTCCTCTAACTGCATGCTATAGATAGATGTTTTCTCTCATAACTGAGCCCTTAGGGTACAATAATATTACAATATCTTGGGAAAGACCACATGAGCATTTTCGAATTAAGCATCAATATTTCATTACATAATGGTGGAATGTTTAATGACCCTATAATTTTTTTCTTATATATGATAATGTGTCAGCCCTTAATCTACTGCTAATCTCAGAAGGACACTTCAACCTCCTTGAATGATATAAATTATGTACTCTAGGTCACACAGAGTTAGAGCTTATTTCATTTTAATAAAATAAAAATAAATCTATTTTTACTGGTGAAAACACATATGAGCATAAAATAAAATAATACAGACAAAAAGGTAAAGATAACATCGTAGAAAAAGATAATCTACTTAGTGAACCTTAAGTCTAGATTTTTTAACTGATTAAAACCATTATCATTAAACCCCTTAAGGACACATGACATGTGTGACATGTCATGATTCCCGTTTATTCCAGAAGTTTGGTCCTTAAGGGGTTAAATAAGCACTATAGTGCCAGGAAAACAAACTTGTTTTCCTGGCAATATAGGGTTATTAGGTCCCCCCACCCTCAGGGCCCCCTCCTGCTGGGCTGAAGGGGTTAAAATCCCTTTAGCCACTTACCTTAATCCAGTGCTGGGCTCCCACGGAAAAGAGGCTGGCTGTGGGAGGTAATATAAGCATAAAATACAATGCTAGAGATATTCTAGGGACATTCATTCAAGCGTTCATTGAGATTTTGCATCCAATCACCTGGGCAAGCTATGTGAACATCGGAATAGCCAGCCAGGGCACAAATCATTTCAGGCTGAAAGTACATGATTTGTGTCCATATTGGTGCTCCTGGAGGCATTTGTTTGGCAGGCATCTTGAAGCTCCCAAGTCACATGGCCAGACTCACTCTTGAAACTCCATAAACACAGTGAAATGTAGCACAGCGTTTATTGTAAAGCTCTTTGAATTGTGCAAACAAATCAATCCAAACCCATGAACGTTTTTTTTTTCTACCTGTTTAATATGGAGGCTCACTAGCAAATGCTGACCAGCTGCCACATAATTAATCCTTGCGCTACCAAGGGCTTTTAACTATTTACCCCGCCGCTATTTGTGCCAACAGACAAATAGTTCAGAATTTTTTTTTTTTTTTTTAAATCCAGGCCCAAAGTTGGATTTAAAGGGATTCTCCAGTGCCAGGAAAACAAACCCATTTCCAGGACACTAGAGAATCCTGGAGTGCCTCACACCCCCCTTCCCATGTCACTGGAGGGTTAAAAACTCCTTCAGCTACTTACCTGAATATAGCGCAGATGTCCCTCGGTGCTGGGTCAAACTCCGCCCACGATCCTTTCTTGCCGACGTCAGCCCGCGGAGGAGACCTAATGCGCATGCGGGGCAATGGCCGTGTGTGTATTAGACCTCCCCATAGGAAAGCATTATTCCATGCTTTCCTATGCGGAAAATCTGATGCTGGAGGTCCGTGAGGACGTCCAACGTCAGATAATGGACCAAAAGTCTATTACGAATCTGGAAGCACCCCCCAGACTAAGTGCAAAAGGGTTACATCACCCAGACTACTTCAATTAGCTGAAGTGATCTGGGTGCCTACAGTGTCCCTTTAATTAATCTGGCCCAGTGTTCAGTCTGATTGAAATCTTGACCAAATACAGTTTGAGCCTGATTTACAAAATACAGACATAGATGAACTCCATCAACAATGTCTGGATTGTGCAGGCAAAATGGCCTTATACAATAGCAAATGGTTTTGCCACATCTGGTACATGGCCAATAGGACTACAGGTGGTCCTCGTTTTGTGACCTACCTGTTTTACGATGGCTCACACTTATGACCAGCTCTCTTGCGGGGTGGTAAGTGCGAGCTGTCATGGGAATTAGAGGGATTACCTGCTCTGCTGCGTTCGTCTATGTTCGGGTAAATTTCCCCAAACATAGACAAATGCATTAGAGCAGGGAATCCCTCTAATCTATGCTTGGGGAAATTTCCCCGAGCATAGATTAGAGGGATTCCCTGCTTGGGTGCGTTTGTTTATGTTCAGGGAAATTTCGCTGAACATAGACTAATGCGCCAGAGCAGGAAATCCCTTAACTCCTCAATTACCGACCAATTCGTTCTCTGGTAAGTGAGTATTACCGGTACAGTGAATAACCCTGTTACTGTTTGCCGACTGGCTGCTAGTGCTGCCAGCAGGCATATAGTAATAAAAAAAACAATTGGATATGCCCATTTGATGGTCGCTATGCTGCCTTGATAGTTTATTTACTACTACCGCTCACACCAATCAATCCTAGCCAGTCATATTCATTTACCTTTACACCATCTGCTATTCTCTCCTAAAGTGCCATTTTCTATCATTTGTTAGTTAAAATGCGTCTCTTGTTCTGCATTTCCTACCAATGTTTCACCCTTCCCTCTGTTCTTACATGAACTTCATCTCTTTGTCTCCTAATGTGCAAGCCTATATTAACTTTCCATTTATACTGCAACCAATTCTTTTGCATTCTACCCTTACCTACTTTCAGATCCCTGTGCCCAGCGGCTCCTCATGCTGCGCCGCCTGAGCACTTTTACAAGCCTCAGGCAGCGCAGCACTACTGTGGAGGTCAACAAGATTTGAGTGACCGGCAGGAGGGAAGCACAGTGCGATCCCTCCCGCCGGTCTCTCAATGTAGCGTGGCGGGCGGTTCGGAACGCGGGGCTGGAACCTCTGTTTCCTGTACCCGGCCGCCGGCGGACTGACGGGAAGTGCTCACTGGACCACAGGCAAGGACCACAGGGGGAGGGGAGGGGGGTAGGCAAGGACCACAGGGAGGGGGCAGGGCGACCACAGGGGAGGGGGTGTGGGCGACCACAGGGAGGGAAGAGGAGGTAAGGACCACCAGGGGGAGAGGGGGGAGGTAAGGACCACAGGGGAGGGGGTGGTAAGCAGAAACCACAGGGGAAGGGGGCATGGACCACAAGGGGAGGGGGAGGTAAGGGACCACAAGGGGTCTGCAAGGGAAGGGGAGGGGGAGGGGGTAGGTAAGGACCACAAGGGAGAGGGAGGGGGGGAGGGGGGGGAGGGGAGGGGGGGGAGGTAAGGAATCATCAGGGAGGGGTGGTAAGGACCACCAGGGAAGGGGGGTATGGACAACGAGGGGAGGGGGGAGGTAAGGACCACAACGGGAGGGGAGGAGGGAGGTAAGGACCACCAGGGGAGGGGTGGTAAGGACCACCAGGGAAGGGGGGTATGGACCACAAGGGGAGGGGAGGGGGGAGGGAAGGACCACAGGGGAGAGGGTAGAGGTAAGGACCACCAGGGGAGGGGGGTAAGGACCACCAGGGGGAGGCAAGGACCACCAGGGAGTGGCAACTCACCAGGGAGGAGGTGGGGGGAGTAAGGACCACTGTGGGAGGAGGGGGGAGTAAGGACCACTGGGGAAGGGGGGTGAAGGAACACAGGGGGAAGAGGGGTGGGGAGTAAGGACCACTGAGGGAGGGGAGGTAAGGACCACTGAGGGAGGAGGTCCACTAAGGGGTTTGGGAGAGGAGAGACCACTAAGGGGAAAGGACCACCAAAGGGTAAATAGGGAGGACCCCACTAAGGAGAGGGGAGGAGGGTAAGGACCACCTGCTGGGAGAAAGAGGATAATGACCACTGAGGGGGGAAGATTACCACTAAGGGGGTGGAAGAGGAGGGGAATGTCTACTAAGGGGTTTGGGAGAGGGAGGAACACTAAGGGGAGGGCTAGAGGACCACTAAGGGGGAGTGAGAAGACCACCAAGGGGGGACTACAGGGGACCAAGGGAGGGAGGGAAGGGGAAATCAATAATTGACAGGAGGGTGAGCACCATGCAAAAAATTAAAAAAAAATAAAGAGCTGCTGCCCTCTCAGTCCCTATCCTACCCCACAAACCCTCTCTTTTACACTACACACATACACAATGCATCCCCCACCCACACACACACACAGAAACATACAATGCATTCCTACTCACAAACAGGCACACCCGAAACACACAATGCTCATTCTCTTACACACAGAAACAAAATGCATCTCTTACACAATCAATGCACCCCTTACAGACACACACTGCATTCAATTAAATACACAGAAACACACCTTGCACCCCTTACACACACACACACAGAAACATACAATGCATTCCTTACACGCAAACACACACTGCATCCCCTATAAACACACTACATCCCTTATAGAAATTGGTATCCCTATACACTACATTCTATAAGAACACACACACGTTGCATCCACTACAATAACAGATAAAACATCCCCTACACACATACACATCCCTCCATGATGGTATTCCCTGAGGTAAGTGACCCCTTTCAGCAGGATAATGCACCCTGTCACACTGCGAACAATGCTCAGGAATGGTTTGAGGAACATGATAGAGTTCAATGTTTTGTGTTGGCCTCCATATCTCTCACTCTCACTCTTTCTCTCTCACTCTCTCTCTCTCTCTCTCTCTCTTTCTCTCTTTCACTCTCTCTCTCCATATATATATATATATATATATATTATTTTATTTATTTTTTTAACATATATATATATATATATATAACATTTATTTTTTTGTAGGAAAACAAAACATTCTAGTGGTGATTGGTGATATGGATGACAGCAGTGAATCGGTAAAGGAACAGATTTTACAGCGTCAGCCCAGCATTACTAAATGGGCACATGGTCTCTTCCTCTTTACCGAAGCAGAAATACTCTCACTCCAGGATTATCAGTACGGACCATCTGTGATGGATGAAAAGATGGAAGCTATGAAAAAACTAATTAAAGGTAAATCACCACAGCCTGTCATCTCTGGCCAAATTCAAGTGATAACGAGGGAGTGACATTTCTTAATTATTTCAACGACAGCAGAAGGGCTGGATTTGTGAGGCAGGAGAGCTATGTTGTTTTTGGCAAACTGCTTGAAAACTGTGTGAAAAATAGGATATCACAAGCAAAGGAGATCAGATCTAGAAGTATTACCACAATAATCTAAATAATCGTTCATTAGGCAATACTGATAAAAAAAAAATGTATTACATAAGATCACAAAAACACACACAGTGATTAAAGGTGAAAAAATAGAAAAATAGTGAATAGGTGCTTTTAAAAGATCCCAAATATAGATATTTAGTAGACAAGACCTCGGTATTTAAGGTGAACCCCCAGGTCTGGACTAGATAAGAAAGTAGTTTCAAGTTGATACAAAATATTTAAATATGTTTCAAAGAAAGTAACAGCTCAATAAACGAGTATCTAAACTCTCTAAAAGGAGAAACGTTATTGTATCAAGGTTGTATTTCCACACGGAATGTTTAGGTATAAATTGGCTATTGGCTGTGTTTTTCAAATCAACAGAGAGTCTGGATATTTACATAATTTAGGGATTGCCCAATTAAAAATCTATCATCCAGGTTAATTCTAGAACTGATTAGCTGACAGAGTGCAGTGATTCCCAAATGACTGTGCAGTGATTCATTTCACACAGTCACTGAGAGCCTAGCATACTGAAAAAACAGGCCACCATTATTGAACCCAAAGAGTATCTTATTCAAACAAACAAATATTCAAAAACTCTGTTAATTCTATAGGAAAAGCATCCGGAGGCAAAGGTGCTACTTTATATATATTTCATATAGAGTACATGGCTTGATATGGGGCACAGGACCTGAAACGAGCCAATAAATGATTACAGGACCAGGCCCTAGGGAGAGTGCGCAGCTTAGCGGACTGTGAGATGTGAGATGTGAGGAAGTGGGTGGTGACAGATCAGACTGACCTCAGTGCCACTTAGGAGCCGGGCCAGCAACAAGTTTCCCACCCACCCTCCCTTTGCTGCTTTGGGCCCGGGGGGTTGTCACAGAGAGGCGGGGTGTGTCCTTGCCAAATAAGGGATGGTTTGGTAGATTAGATGAAAAAGGGGGATAATGGCCGGGTCTCTTCCTCCCCCTGTCTCTTATGGTGAACCTGGAGGGGGTACCAGGTTGGACGTGTCCCCACTAGGTTGTAAGTCGACCAGTGGGGAGCATTATGGTTGGGCCCCACCGAGTTGGTGGGGAGCCCTGAAAAGGAAGATGTTTTTATTATGCCGAGGGGGGGAGGTGAGAGCCTTGGGGAAGTTAGATTGGCAAGGACGGTTTCTTTGGTTACTGTATGACTATATGCAAATTGTTTATGTTAATTTATGATATTTATTATTTCGTTATATGTTAAAGGAGTCATAGAGTATTTGGTTGTTTTAATAAGTGCTGTGGTCTGTTTTCTCCAAGAAGTTGTCTGTCGTTATTTGAAGGGGTAAGTTATGGTTTTATGGGGGATGAAGGTATTGCTATCCAATGCCCACTACGTACATACATGATACAGAGGTATAGAAACTTAGAGAGAGGACAGGACCTGACACAGGTGTACATGAGAAGTCCATGTTAGTCCACCAAACAGTCTATGGTCGCCCATCGAGGGCTATGCACAGACTGAGCTTGCATAGCTGAAGAAGCCATTATAAAGGCTTTCACACAGATGTAATTCCAGTTGGAATAAAACACTATAGGCATCAAAACAACTTTAGCTTAATGAAGCAGTTTTGGTGTATACAACATGCATCTGCAGTCTTACCGCTCAATTCTCTGCCATTTAGGAGTTAAATCACTTTGTTCACATTTATGCAGCCCTGGCCACCCCTCCCCTGACTGTGACTGACACAAACTGCATTAAAACAAAACACTTTTCATTTCAACCAGATGTAACTTACTTTAAACATTTTTATGAGGGTCAAGCAGGAACAGACAGAGCTGTGGGTTTATTGTTCTTATATACACATTCTTATAAACATCAATAAACACGTACAATACACTCAGACACCCCCACGCGGAATCACTCCCTCTGCCTGTGATACAATTACCTTACACAATGGGTAATGTAATTATCACAGGCAGAGAAATACAGTTTTTCTACATAATTCATAACTTTAAAAGTATGCATCACATTCACAAAAAAACATTTTCAGAATCAGCATACTCCAAATACAAACATATGTCAAAATCATCCAAATTGGTCCATTGGTTCAAAAGATAGATCGAAGTCCTATGTGACCAAATGAAGCATGGCTTTTCTGCCCAAAACCAGTTCCACAGAGTCTTCTATCCTGGAGATAATTGAGAAGCAATCCAATTATCTCCAGGACAGAGGCAAAACCCCATTAGTCACATGGTAGCAAAATACAATAAAATACAATAAAATGCACAAGGTTACATTTATTACATAAAATACAGACATGCAACATATCCCCAAATAGCTTAGGTCTAAGTGCACATTATTACTGAATGGCGCTCAGACCACACACATACAGTTCAATTGCCATGGAGCCAAAGTCTTTTATTACATAAATAGGCTCCATGGCATAGCTATCTGGGTTAAATGAGTTCATTCAGTAAATCCGAGAATCTACCGAACGCCAGGGCAGAAATACGTGAATAGACCTTTCTGCATAGGAACATAAAGTATTTAAATGCCGGTCCATAGTCAAAAGGCAGCAGGCAGGCAACCAGGCTCCTCCAATGCACAGTTGCGAGATTGGTTCCGCCACAATTAAGATAATGTTATTTTGGTGACTATAGTGTTCCTTTACTAATGTACATCAGGGAACTGGACATAAGATACATTTTGTTTGCCATAAGTGTAGTAATACCAGGAGCAACCTCCCTTTCCCGCTATAAAGGACTATAACTACAAAGAAATAACGTGTCCGACCTGAAGGCATTATGACAAAAAAATGTTTTCCAGTACAGCTGTTTTAACTACTACTTTTGGTGAATATATCTGTGAATGCTTCTCCCACGTATCAGGGAGATGCTTTGAAGGTCACTTTATTTGGATTGTAGAGAAGGAGCTCGACTGGACATGTAATCTTCCCAAATTTGGAAAATAAAATATGGACAGCTTTTCTGTTATTAGCAGAGTATCGAGCCAGTGTTTTGTGAAGCTTAAATCCACTTCTGAGACTTACCTGAATCCAGCGCCAATGTCCCTCGATGCTGCCCATGCTCCTCCCTTGCTGATGTGCGCCAGCAATGCTTTCCTATGGGGATTCCAGCAATGCTGGAGGTTTTCATCCAGACCGTGAGGATATTCAGCATTGTTTAATCGACCAGCCACTAGAGGAGGGCTTAACCATGCAAGATAATTATTGCAGTTTATGAAAACTTCAGTGATTACACTTGCAGGGTTTAGGGTGATGGGAGTTGGCACCCAGACCACTCCAATGGGCAGAATTGGTCTGGGTGCCTGGAGTATCCCTTTAATGATTGAAAGCGATAACAAATAATAAAGACATTGGCACCTGATCCATCCTGCGGAAAGCACACAAATCCAGCCAGTCTGTCGGTTACAGAAATTATTTTAC